ACAGGGCGAAGGCCCCGGGCGACTTAGTGCCCACAGTGGTCACGAGCTCGCCACTCCCAACCATCAGGGATGTTCGAAAGTGGGGCTGGACCCCTGCCTGCGCCCTCGGTTGCCTAGGCCTCGCTCCGGAGCCGAGCCGGGTGTGGGGTGAGGGGTGAGGGGGACTCGAGGCTCCAGCGCTCGCAGCGGGCGCCGGGGTGCGCCGTCGGCGCGTCCACGACCGCAGCCGCGGGGTCCCGCGCGGTGCAGGAACTCGCAGGCCGGCCCCCAGGTGCCACGAGGACTCGGCTGGCAGGCCCAGTGGCTGTGGCTCCACCCGCCCCTCGGCGCTGGGGTGGGGAGGGCAGCGCAGGTGTGAAGGGTCAGGTTTCCCTGCCTCAGGCCTGCGGGGAACACCATTTCCCAACTCCCCCGAGGAAATGCAAAAAAAAAAAAAAGTATCCTCTCCTTCACGCTTCAGGTTGGCGGTTTTGTTTCTGCCACTTTGAGGGTGGGGGACAAAAAGCAAAACTTTCTACATAAGAATGTCACAGCACACAGAGTCCTGAAAAGTGTTTCTTCTTCGGGGCGCTTTAGAAAAACCCCCTGTCCCGCTTTCTGCATGGTCAAGGAGCAGAATAATGAAACCAAAGACTTTTATTTTATAAACCACTTGATCTTTGCTTGGGAAACTCTATTAATTGAATGGGTTTGCCTTTTTTTGCCAGTCCCCTTTATCATTATTTATGGGCTTTAAATTGTTTAAAGTTCCCTTGACGTTCAATTTACAAGTTTGGGGACTTTTTTTGTTCTGCCTTTTGTCCCGGAGAAAGACATCGTGTTGGAAGCGCTTTGAAAAGCCAAACATGAGAGGCTGGCAATGAAAGGGAAGCGGCTCGGTCCCTTTTAATCCCGTCCCGTTGCTGAATGGCTCTTTTACATAATTGCAGGAGCTATTTCAAAGCCAGCCAAGGGCTGACTTCACTTAGAGCCACATGGAGTCTATTTTGGGCTTTCAGATTTAAAAAAAAAAAAAAAAAAAAGCAAGCTGAATAAAATAGTTTAAAAAAATGAGGCTTCAGTGCTTTCTGCTACTTGCAAATTGGTGTGTCTGACGGGGAATCTTACACAAGCCCCCTTTGTAAGTGCGTTGTGGGCAGGGGCGGGGGGACTGTTCTGGGTTAGCTGGGTGTGAATCCCAATTGCCCTTCCATAAATAAGACCCATCCCAAGCTATTTCCCATCTATTGCCAGGAGCAAGAGCCGCGGCAATGACCGAATGATCAGGCCACTCAAAGTCCCTATAAATAAAAACAACTCGGTTACCCGAGAAACCAGCCTGTTGCCTGGGACTGGACGGCAGGCAAGCGCATCGGCCCGCTAGGTCCACGGGCTGCTCAACACCCCCGAGACCCGGGCCCCCCGCGCCACCTCCTCCCCACGCCCACCCGCGATGTCGCCCCTGGCGGCAGCCGGGAGCAGGTGGTCCGCGGTGCCCTCTCCTCCGGGCTGGATGCGGAGGGCCCACGCGGGTTTGCAGCCCAAATGCTCACTTATGTGGGCAGTTAGTGCTTCACTTGGGGCTGTGCACACCTGCAAGCCCCCGCAAGCCCCCGCTGACCAGGACAGGCCCCGGGCTGGAGACAACTTAATTACCTTCCCCTAACTGACATCTGAGGCTCTAAGCGCCTTCACAGGACCCTGACACCAGCTTGGCACCCGCCGAGGAAAGCGCCCAGGGGCTGAGCCAACTTCCTCCCAGAGGGAAGTTCTCTGGGAAAAAAAGTTCTGGGAAGTTAGCTGAAGAACCTAGATGTCCCTCCAGTGCATCCCTCAGGCTTCCTAATTGGAGGGAAAGGAGGGGGCTCTGAGAGCGAAGTTGCAATGAGCCGTTCTGGGTGGCTCTCCTGGCGGCCAGGGCCAGCTGAGGTCCCCAGACTGCAGGGTGAGGCTGCCGAGAGCTAAGCAGGTAGGGATCCAAAGGCTGGAGAAGGCAGGTGCCTGTCGCTCGCTGCCTACACATCTCCTGGAGGAGCTGAGGGCCACTCTGAGAGCTTTTATTATCCACAGTCCCCAAGCGCTGAGCCCTGTGCAGGTAGCTGAGGTGCCCTGAATGAGTCTTGTTAATCACTGCGAAACACAAGGATCCTTTTATGACGCGAACAGTCGTTTTCTAAGCAGTTAAGCATTAGATGAGAAAATATGACTGCGTTGCATTCGAGAAAAAGCACACTAGTAAATAAAATTCATATTGACGAGAATCCTCTGAACTCCCTAATAAAAGAAGATTAGTATTATAACCCTGCAGTCAATACTTTGCGCGGCAATTTATGGATGCAAATAATATGCCATCAAATTATTTCAAGTGCAGCTGTAATTCAACGGACCTAAATCTTCTTGCTGAACTTTAAATGTAGAGTTATCATCAAAATAATCAAAGGGATACCTGGCTCTCAGGGTAATCAGGCGACGGAAGTCCCTAGAACAATATTTTTACAGCGAAATAGCAAAGCGGATGGCAAACCTGGCCGGGTAGGATGACGAACAGCCTGCACAGGCGATGGGCCGGCTGCAGCGCCGTAAATCAGGCCGGGACTCGGCCGGTTTTCCCTGGGATTCGAAAAACAAGTTCACCCGGCCGGAGCCTGTGCGACTGTAACTATCTCATAATGAGAGGGAGTATTTATTATGCCCATAAAGAAATCAGCCTTTTTGCCCTGGGCTTGTTGTCTTTTTATTTTTTTTCCTTTTCTTCTCTTTCTTTTTTGGTAGAAGTGGAGAGAGAGGGGTAGAGCCTAGAGACCCACCCCACAGACACCTCCTTCCCCGTGGGTCCCGACGGGCATTCACTTCCCCCCGCCCCCCCACCGCCTCAGCCACCGCCGGGCCTGGGCGCGAAGGCCGTAGAGGCAATACAGGCAGCGACCTAATGAATTCTTTTCAGCCCGCCTGCTGCCGGAGCCATCCATTACTGCGGCCTGGAGTGGGGACCGCGCTCCAGACGGCTTTGTCCGGGTGGCGGGAAGGGGGCGGGAAGGCAGTAGGAGGGCGGCTGGCGCAGGGCCCTCCTTTTCTCAGCACCCTCCCCTTTCCCCCGGCCAGGGCCCGCTGGGTGGGCCGTGGGTCCCTGGCCAGACCCGTGGATGAGGAGGTGGTCTGGGATTAAGACGTCCCCGGGGGCCTTGGGGCGAGAGCGAGGGAAAAAGGAAGAGAAAGAAGAGCTTCAAAGAATCAGGTCGATAAATTCATAAAGATCGATTTATCTTTATCTCCCAATTAAATGTGCTTGTAAGTGATACATAACACACGTCCAACACGGGCCAACTCCCCAACCACTAGGTCCTGGGCGTGAGCAGATTTTTAATGGCCAGTGGAACAATGCCCTTCGCTCCTCTCCTTCCGAGCCCGGTGCTTGAACGTCTGGACCCGGGAAGTTGGAGCTGAGGCCCTGGAGGCGCGTGGAAGCCCCGCGCGCGTTGGCGCGCTGTGCACGGTCTGCCCTTGAGATGAAATGATTCCCCCTTTTAAAGGGAACACAAGCGCTGAAAGTTTTGTTTTTATCGTGGAGAAGGGAGTAAGACCATTCCCAGCCCACCCCCTCCCCCCGCCAATTCTCTTACTCCCAAATTCTGGGGTTTTACCATCGTCCAGACGAGAGAAACATCTGGAGGGAATCGGCTCCATCCTGCAGGAGGCAAAGGGCAGCCGCGCGCTGGAAACCAGGCGGCGGCGCCGGGGTGAGCGCTCCCTCGGTTCTCAACGTGCTTAATTAGCGCCTATTTACAAAACGCAGCTTTTATTTGAGCAAACATCATAAAGCTTTCATCAGGATAATCTCACGTTATACAGTCTGGAGGCACAGTGACTCCCCCCCTTCCTCCCCGAGGATGGAGGAGATAAAGGACTCGCTTTATTATCATAATTATCGTGGCTGTTATTTTGGTGCGCGCAGGCAAAGTGTGTAAATAGGTGCGATGATTAAGAATGTCATGAAAAATGAGAAGGGATCGCTCACGGGAGGGCCTAGCTCGGGATGGCGAAACCAGCAGCCTCCCGCCCGGCCAAGAGTGCGGGGTGGGAGGGTCGCCAGGAGCAACCCCGCGGGGTCCCCGCGGCGGGCGGGGGCGGTTGGCCTCGGGCCAGAGCCTTAGGGGAGGATCGGAAGCGGCAGGACCGTGCCCCCAACTCCGGGAACCTCGCCGGGACCCAGGAGTAGCAGCACCCAGAGCTGGGATGAGCCGAGAGCAGGTTTGTTCCAGTTCAAAGAAATACAGCACCCTCGGCCCAGCCGTGGCGGGCCCTAGCCCCGGAAGCTGCCCTTGGAGGCGGCCTCGATCCCTGGGGTTTGCCGGGGGCCGGATTCGGGCCTTGAGGGTGCCAACCGCCCCTTTCAAGTTTGCGCCGCGCGGCCGGCTCCGGCTCTCGGGCCCGCGCGCTCCGCTGGTGGCGCCTGCAGCCTGCTTGCTGCCAGCCCTGGTGGAAGGGGTGGGGCTCCGCCTTCCCCCGCCCCTCCTAGCGCAGCCAATAGGCGGCGGCGCTCGGCCCCACGTGAGGCGAGCCCGGCCGGGTAGCTGGCAAAATGTGAATGAGAAAGAGGAGCGCGATTTAAAGGTGCTGGCGGCGCCCGCCGAAGACAAGTGCGCCTGCTTCGCGCGCTCCCCAGCGGCCCGCCGGAGGCTACGGACTGCGGGACGGACGGACAGACGCGCCGACAGCTGTGATCCGGGGCCCAGGGCCGCGGACGCGACGCACGCAGGCTCCGTCAGGCAAGCGGCGGGCAGCGGCCACAGCCAGCCCGCGGAGCCCGGGCGCCCTCTCCACTCCGGGGCGCACGACCTCACTCCGCGTACCGCCCGCAACCGCTGGGCATGCAGCGGGCCCAGGACTGAGGGGCAGCGGCGTCCGCTCTCCGGCTACCGCTCCGCCGCTGCCCGACTGCGCTCCAGGTGCCCGGCGGGCTTCCTGGCGGCGGCGCGGCGCAGGGACTTTTCGCCTCTCGCTGGCCTCTCCCGAGCGCGTCTATGAGCGCAGCGTTCCCGCCGTCGCTGATGATGATGCAGCGCCCGCTGGGGAGTAGTACCGCCTTCAGCATAGACTCGCTGATCGGCAGCCCGCCGCAGCCCAGCCCCGGCCATTTCGTCTACACCGGCTACCCCATGTTCATGCCCTACCGGCCGGTGGTGCTGCCACCCCCGCCGCCGCCGCCGCCCGCGCTGCCCCAGGCCGCGCTGCAGCCCGCGCTGCCCCCCGCGCACCCTCACCACCAGATCCCCAGCCTGCCCACCGGCTTCTGCTCCAGCTTGGCGCAGGGCATGGCGCTCACCTCCACGCTCATGGCCACGCTGCCCGGAGGCTTCTCCGCGTCTCCCCAGCACCAGGAGGCGGCGGCCGCCCGCAAGTTCGCGCCTCAGCCGCTGCCGGGCGGCGGCAACTTCGACAAGGCGGAGGCGCTGCAAGCCGACGCTGAGGACGGCAAAGGCTTCCTGGCCAAGGAGGGCTCACTGCTCGCCTTCTCCGCCGCCGAGGCGGTGCAGGCGTCACTCGGTGAGTCGGCAGCGCGCGCAACCCGGGCGTGAGTGCGGCGGAGAGGCGGGGGCGAGGCAGCCCCGGGTTCCCGCTGGGGCCGAGGGGGCGAGGCCGAGCCCCCGCCCGACCCACTCCCGACCCTCGCCCAGCTACTCCCCGCCTGCAGAGCGGGAGGACGCGGCCCAGTTGAGCCGCGGGGACTCCCGGGAGCATTTAGAGGCGTGCGACAAGCACGGTCCCTGGATCGGGCCGGGGGGCGGGGGCAGCGCATTTAGCGCCACGGGCCAGCTGCCGCGCAGGGCGGCTTATCTGGTGGTGAGTTTGACAAAGTCTCGCCGGCCCCCGTCCGCCCACCTCGCGCAGGTCCCGCATAGGCTTCAGCCCTAAGGGCGGGCTGGGCTCCGCGTCTCCACAGTGCTTGTGCCTCGGGCGCCCAGACCTTTTCAACCCTTCGCCGGGCTTGCCGTTTGCCTGGGAGATCGGGTTCCGAGAGGCCGTGCATCTGCGTGTGTGTGTGTCTGTGTGTGTTGGGGTGTCTGGTGAGAACTTCTCCTCCGGCCACCAAACTTCCCTTTGACCGAGATTATCTGTCTCAAAAAAATCGTGGTCTGGGATCTGCACCTCCCTCAGCCCCGGCTCTGCGAGGAAACGAAGGTTCACAGCATTTCCCCTTGTGGAAGCCTGGACTCCCCTTCAGTCCTCACCCAGCTCTCACCTCGGGGACAAAGTGGATGCTCTCTGGGGCCTCACGCCTCCAGCTACTGGGGCCGTAAGCTGCTGGGGGCTGGGAGGACACTGAGGAGGCCCGCCGGCCCCTTGAGTGATGGTTCTGGGCAAAGGGCCTTCACCAGCCCTGTCCCCTCCTGTTGTTTGAGCTTTCTCACGGGTCCACCTCCCCAAAGGCCAGGAAATGACAATGTGTTAATGTCACAGAAAGACAATTCGCCAAGGGAGAGAATGCCCAAGCGCGGCGGGAAGGGGAAAGGCAGTCCAGTGCTCGAAATGTAATAAAACGCCGTTTGGTTTTGCTTTCAGTCGGGGCTGTCAGAGGGCAAGGGAAAGACGAGTCAAAGGTGGAAGACGACCCGAAGGGCAAGGAGGAGAGTTTCTCGCTGGAGAGCGATCTGGACTACAGCTCGGATGACAATCTGCCCGGCCAGGCGGCTCACAAGGAGGAAGACCCCGGCCACGCGCTGGAGGAGCCCCCGCCGAGCGGCGGCGCTGCGGGCAGCACCACGTCCACGGGCAAGAACCGGCGGCGGCGGACGGCCTTCACCAGCGAGCAGCTCCTGGAGCTGGAGAAGGAGTTCCACTGCAAAAAGTACCTGTCGCTGACAGAGCGCTCGCAGATCGCCCACGCCCTCAAACTCAGCGAGGTGCAGGTGAAAATCTGGTTCCAGAACCGCAGGGCCAAGTGGAAACGTGTGAAGGCCGGCAATGCCAACTCCAAGACAGGGGAGCCCTCCCGGAACCCCAAGATCGTCGTCCCCATCCCCGTCCACGTCAGCAGGTTCGCTATCAGAAGTCAGCATCAGCAGCTGGAGCAGGCCCGGCCCTGAGGCCTCGGGAGGGCCCGGCTGCCGCCGCCACCGCTGCAGCGCTGGAGGGAACCCAGGGCGCCCCGCGCCATCGGGAGCGAAACTCGGTCGCCCCCAAGGTTGGCCATCCCAAGCAAATTCAGAGTGTATCCATTAAACAGGCTCAGAAGACTGCTTTCGGAGGGGCTACCGCTACGGCTGAAGACGCACTAAATATTTATTCTACTACCCTACTTTGTACATAGATATCTATATGAACTGGATCTCAGCTGCAGGATTTTGAAAGTTACAGGACCGCACCGCCCTGTAACACCCTCCACTCACATTCCAGAAGAAAACAAAACCTCTGCCGTAACCCGCCACCCATAGCAGCCACCTGTCCCTACTTTTCCAAAGGTAAACACGACATGCAAGAACACACACTGGGGTTGACACGCCTTTTTGGTTCTGTTCTGGCTTTTTTAGTTGACTGAAAAGCAGACGTTGCGGGGCAGTCTGGCAATCTGCTTGGCTTTGGTTCTGCCTGGCTTTCTTCCCCGGGCTCGCGTCTCCTGTCTGAGCCATGTCTGAAGCACGTCTCCGTTGTGTTTAATTTATTTCAATGTAGCTTATTTTCTTATAACTTATGACATTTAAACAATCCCAGTCTTGTGAATAATAAAAAGGAGAGAGAGAGGGGGAGAAAAAAAAAAAAAAAGACCAGTGTCTGGGTGTCATGAGTGTGTCCCCATTCGACTGTTTGGAGGCCAGCTGGCCTGGGACCTGGGCTGGACAGACGTCCCCGGCCAGTTCGCAGACTGGCTGGAAGGCAGCCGCACGGCACCTGACCGGGCTGTCAGTTGACAGCAAGAGCCCCAGTTGGGCGATACATTTAAGGAAAGCAGTTTTTCACCTTAGAGATCTAGCCTCCCCCTCTTTGCACGGCCTGTTCAATACCTCCGAGGCCGGCGCGGGAAGGAGGGAAGAGAAGAGAGAGCGAGTATTGGGGGCTTTGCCCAAATTCCTGATGTTCTAAATCCACCACAGCCAGGGAGGAAACGCTTTACCTTACAAAGATCCCCGGCCCGAAAAGAAGTGGCGCTTGCTGGCGGGCAGGGCCGAGCGCCCATAAATCAGGCCAGGGGTTACCTTCCGGCAGATGCACAGCCCTGCCAGCCAGGCTGGCTTCCCGGCAGCGCTGGGCGCGGAGGCGGAGGCGGAGGCGGGATGGGAGTGCCAGCCGGCCGGCACCTCCCTCTCCAGGCAGGGTCCGAGGCGGTGAGACCCCACCACGGGCACCCCCCCCCCCGGCCGGGGCACGGGGGTGGGGGGGAGAGTGGGGGGACTCGGGGGATGGGGGGAGCGGGGGCAGTCCGCGGGGAGAGGGAGAAGGGGAGAGGAACGCAGGCCGGCTGGGGCAGATCTGTGGGGGTCCCTGGGAGCTGGCCCCCAACCGGACTGGGAGGGGCCTGCCTGCATCCCCAATGCCACTGCCCCTACCCCGGCACCGCGCCCCGGGGCCCGGCCCCTTCTGCCGGCTCCTTCCCCAACCCCTAAGCGCCCAACCAGACTCGAGCATCCAGGCCCGCCAGAGAGGCTGCCAGGGACAGGACACGGGTGGCCCAGGGACGTGGAGAGGGGGAGCGCGGTGCCAGAGCCCTGACGCCTTGGAACCAGCAGTCCAAAGAGCAAAGAGAAGCCCGCGGCTTCACCAACCTCAGCTTCCCCAGTGGAGGCCGGAGAGAGGGCTGCGTGCGAGCCGCGCGCGCGCGGCACCTGCCGATGTTCTCAGACGGAGAAGGGGAAGCGCGGCGCCAGGGGTCAACACTAATGCTGACTTAATTTATGCAGCTTGCAGCACGGTCACCGCCCCACAGCGGAGGTGCCTGGGGACCCAGGCTCCCCGCCAAACTTTCGGCACAAGGTGAGGGCCAGGCGCAACTGGGTTACCGTTTCCCGCGTTTCCAAGATTTCCCGAGGTGGCAAATGGCCCGGAATTGGGGTTTGAGCACAATTCTGCTCAAAAATGAAATGCCCTGGCTGGTCCTCTGAGGGCCTCAGGCGACCCCGGGGTGCAGAGAGCTGCAGAGGCTCCTCGCTGTTCCCCACACGGCCTCTTGAGGCCTGTAGGGGGTGGGTGCGCTGGGGTCGTTGCCTGCCCTGGCGCAAGCGCTACGAGGCCCCGCCACTAAGGGCACCCAGGTAGCTGGTTGGCGTCCTCGGCTTCGGGCAGGTCTCCACTGGCCAGACGCCCGCTGCCACGACAGTGGAGACCCGAGGAGGCAGCAGCCCCACCCCCTCCCACCCCACACACACCTGGGCCAGTCAGTCCCTGGTAGGAATGCGCCCGCCCCCCCCCCCACAGAACTGTGGCTTGTGGCCAGTCTCTGCCCACGTAGGACCCGGGGAGCTGCACCGGCCCTGGTGGGGGCGCCCCCACCCAACACTCCGGGTCTGGGGAAGGAACCTAGGGTCCTGAAAGCAGGGCGCCCTTACAGGTCCTGGAGGGCCCCCTCTTCCACCATGACAGGTGTAACCCCCACCCTCCTCCGAAACACGGTGGCAGGGACGGGAGGCACAAAGAGGCCCGAAGCCTCGGCTACACAAATCCCGCCGGACGATGAAGCTCCCTAGGAAGGGGGGCCGCCTTCAGGGAGCCCCCCTCCACCGCCGGCCGCGGGATCCTGCCCCTTGGGAGCGGGAGGAGAGGGCCAGGGCCTTGCCGGCCCTCCTGCCCCCTCAGGGCTCTGTCCCCCTCCTCCCAAGCCCGTGACCGCTGGGGCGCCGCTGAGAGCCTGGCGCAGAGGCCGCGGCCGAGAGACAGACCGAGGGAAGATAAACAAGCGGCGCTTGATGGCTGCTGTCATCATGGCTTTCATTTGGCTGCCTAATGAGTCACATCACAGGCAGAGAGAAAAATTGTCAATCGCCCGGGCCCTAATGAATTTTTTTGCAAATTGTAATCAAGCCAGGCCGTCTCAGCTGGCTGATTAATGAGACCCACGAGGCTCGGCCAGCACCTCCGCTTTTTATCCATCCCGTCCTCCCTGCACTAAATTAACAGCAACTTGTCTGAGCTTCAAATTAACTCCCAATGATTAATTCTGATGGGGGGGCCTGAAGAATAGCTTGTTCTAATAGGCTCTGGCCTGAGATGCTGTTGGAAATTAATACACTTCCCCTTTGGCTGCCGGCTTTAATCCAAGGTTGGGTTTTGACATCACTATATTTGTTGTTACAATAAATTCCACTTACATCTGCAGATCAAATAATTACGCTTGGGAGCACCATGGACCTTCCCCCCACCCCCCACCCCGACCGGCACTAGGGCCCTCGGGCCTGCTCCCGCCGGTATTTACCAACCCAAGCAGGGGGTCGAGCCCCCACCCCCACCCCACTGGGACAGCTACTCCACCGGCGACCCTCTGCCCCGCGCCCCTCCCCCCACCCTTTGGCGAACAGAGGGCACTTTGAAAGCCGCAGCCACATCTTCACCTGCCCCGGCCAGCCCTCTGTGATTGGCCCGGGGCATCAGGCGGCCCCCTCCCCCAGCTCCCTGCAGAGGCAGGAGTACCCCTGGAGGGGCCGGGTCAGCTGGGTTTCAACCTTCCCCAGCGCCCATCTGAGCTGGAATTTTGGAGACGTGGTGCCTGCCTCCATGCCAAGCTTTTGCCTCCTAATCTTCGGCCCATGGGAGGGGTCTTTCTCAGGCCCTTTCCAGCCAAACGGCGTGGGTGGGGCCTTCCTTGTCCTCTCCGGAGCACATAAGCCTGTAGGACCAGCCGGACAGGAACCTGACCGCCGCGCCAGGCCGCCCCACTCCGCGTGGAGCGGACACCGGCACCTGCCTTGCCCGATGCCCTTTCTCCCCGGGGCAGCGTCCGCTCCGGCTTGTGTCTGTTGGCTCTGTTTGTTCGGGCTTAATTAGCTTAATCACTTCAGCTGCAGCAGGCAAGCCTCGCAGAGGGCCTCCGTGCCGGCTCCCTCCAGCCCTGGCCAGTCCCAAGCAGAGCCCTGCGATCCCCCTTGGCAGGGGATTCCGGATGTGCCGGAAGCCGGGAGGGACGGTGCGGCAGCCTCGGGATCTGGTCACCACCTGGTTCTGGCCTCGGGGCCTTCGCGGTTCCCAGGGGCGGTGGGAAGTGCCTGCCGCGCAGGCCCGCGTCCGGCAGCCCTGGCGTGGACTCTCGCCTGTAGGAGACTTGGGTGTGCCCGTGCAGCCACGTTAAGAAGGAGGCTAACTATGCACGCGCCCCTCTTTCTGTCCCCGTGGACCCTCTCTTCAGGTGCGCGCAGCCCGAGGAGGCGGCCTCTCGGACCCTCTGGTGTGCCAGGGATTCCTGGAAGGCCTCCTGCTACACAGCCTCCTTCCCTCAAGCCCGGCGCCAGGGCCCTGGGGTACCCGGGCTCTGGGGATTAGGGGGAGCTACTGCTGGGGGTCCCCCGGAGCGGCCTGGGCGAGGGGAGGAGGCATCCATCTTCATTTTGGGCCCTTATGGCGCAAACAGGAGAAATATGATCTTTGTAACCAAACGTGAATGCAAATCGCACCGTCTGAGTAATAAAGCACCTGAAGCCTCGGCACACAAAAGCAACACCATATGTATGAAGACAACCTGCATACATTATAAATTACATCATAAAAATGGATCGCCCCCTTGAGCAGTTCCGAAGTGAGAGGCCTGAGCTGACTTCCGGCCTCCGCGGCTTTGGGGAAAGGTCAGGAAGCACGTTCACCTCGACGGGCCTTCGGTCGGAACCACCGGGCGGAGAGTGTGGCGCAGGCGCTGCGGCCCCGTGCGGTCGCGCTGGGGGCTGCGGGCTCCGCGCCGCAGGAGAGGCAGGGCCGCCCTCTGGGAAGCCCTGCGTGGCCTAGCGCCGCTGGGCGAGAGGTGCCGCTGATCTCGGCAGCTGGCGGTCAAGTCGCTGTCGGGGAGTAGGACCCTCCTACTCCAGAGCGAGAGGGGAGGCCCCTCGTTGCTGGCTCTTTGCCCCGAAGCTGCTCGGATTTCTGGCTCGGACCGACGGCCCCCGCGAGCGCA